GCCGTCGTCGCCGTCGCCGTCGTCGTCGTCGCCATCGTCGTCGTTGTCGTTGTCGTTGTCGTCGTCGTTTTCGTCGTCGTCGTCGTCGCGTTCGTCGGTTGTTCGTCGTCGTCCTCATCCTCATCATCATCATCAGCAGCATCATCAGAGGCATCAGAGGCATCATCATGAGCAGCAGCATCAGCATCATCATCATCATCATCATCATCATAAGCCTCATGATCACCATCCTTCGCCTCCCTCTGATCCTCCTCGTCTATCTCTCTCTCTCTGTCTCGTTATCTCGCTCTCTATCTCTCTCTTTTATTTTCTCTCTCTCTCTCTCTCTCTCTCTCTCTCTTTCTCGCACCACCCTCGGCGCCACAACGGGAAGGGGCAAGGCCCCGCCGCTGGGGCGCAGCGTTCAGTCCGCGGGGGTGCGGCCGCCTCACGCAGCCAGCCCGCGCCACAGGATGCACGCGGGGGCACGGCAGCCTCTCGCCACCAGCCCGCGCGCCCAGACGACTTGCTCGCAAGCCAAGTCGCCAGGCCGGGTCGCAGAAGCCACACACACCCCGCCCCCGCGGGGACGGCCCGACCCACCCAGGAGCCCAGACCAGAGACCCCAAAACGCACTCAGGGAACCCCAGAAGGGTTGCCCGACTGCCCACAGGACGGCCCAGAAACGGCCGAGAAATTCGAGCCGCATCCAGCAGGGCCGACGGCGCCTCAGACTGCCGCTCCAAAAATGGCCAGGCACCAAGCGCACTCCCACTGACACTACCTGCCACGCTTGGCCTTCTTGAGCTTCGCCAACAGACCAGGACGTCGCTCAGCGCGAGACTGCTGTAGCTCCGCTTTGAGATGAGCAATGCAGGCCAATGTGCACCTCAGGCAGGCCCCACTGGATGCACCCGGCGGCAGCCAGCCTCCTGCTCACGTCCACGCGCGTGACCACCTCCACGCGCCCACGGAGGACCATGAGACGGCGGGCAGGCGAGACGACGGGCTGCCCCCAGCAGGCGCGTCGTCCCCCAGCAGGGCGGCGGACTGCACCAGGCACTGCGCGTCGGGCGCGGCGTCGGTCTGCAGCTCCTTGACCGTGCCACCCCTGCTACCAAAATCGACCGAATCGGCAGCGCAGGCCGCGCCGACTGCACGATGACCATCTCGAGCTCGGCCCTCGTCGACACGGCGAGCACGAGCCCCAACATGCCCCCCCACGAGGGGCACCGTGAAAATCGTCGTGATCTTCCGCCTCAGCCTCCAGCGAATCCGCAGCAGCATGACGACCGCCAAGACATTCCCCCTCGCTCTCCAGCACATCCTCGAAGTCGTCGCAGGCGCATCCCTCAGGATCGAAGAAGGGCAGGTCGTCCTCGTCGCCGATGCCGCTCTCCACGCTCGCGCCGCCAGACTCCCGCCCAGCAGCTCCAGGAACAAGGTGTCCACCCTCCCCTACGTCCTGCACAGCCCCGCCATGCGGACCAGCAGGGACGGCATCGGACTCCAGGATGGCGTCGCTCCTGCCGAGCGCCTCGGCCTCCCACGCCCACCAGTGCGCCCCGCTCATCACCGGCGGCGACAGCGCCGGGGGGGGGCTCGCCTGCCCGCGCGGCGCCGCAGGCACCCTGGGCGGCGGTGCAGACGCGTCGCGGCACGCGGCGCCTGCAGTGGGAGGCGGTGCGCTGCGCGCAGCGCGGCCGCGCCTCGCCGCCACCTCCTCCCAGGCGGTAAGCGCCGCGTCATACGCCGAGCGAGCCGCTGGCAGCCGCCGATGCAGCGAAGGCCACCTCCACGGCGGTCTGGGCCTCCGCAGCTGCACCGCCGCCCTGCTGCACCTCCCCCGCCTGGGTGCGCGCGTCGCTTCACGCTGAACTCGATTGAATATCGCCCGCACGTCGGCGGCGGGGAGCGCGGGGTGGTGGGAGGCCACATTGCGCCTGCCCACCTCCATGGCGCTCGCGTCCGTGCCTGTGATGTCCGCCTCCAGCACGGGCGCGACGAGCGCCAGGCGCTGCACGAGCTCAGCCGCCGTGGCTTTCGGCTCGGGAGCACCGCCTGCGGCCCCCACGCCATCGGCCGCGGCCCCGCCGCTCGCAGGGGCAGAGGCGGCGCAGGAGGCAGCCAGGGCGCGGCCTCGCCCGCCGCTACCGCGTGGCGCAGGTCGGCTTGCAAGCCCTCCACGAGCGCCTCGAGGTCGAGCACGCGCCGCAGCGCCGCCGCCAGGCGCCCAGCCGCCGCCCCACGGGCAGCGCCCTGCCTGGCACGCCGTGTCGGCCACGGCGACGGCGCAGCCGCTGTAGCCTCTGGGAGCTCCGCCGCCGCATCGGCCGCCCTGCTCCCGCACGCAGCCATCCCCTGGGGAGCCATCGCACCGCGGCAGAGACCCAACGCTGCCGCCCGCCTGGCGCCCAAGCAGGCATGAGCCAAAATGGCTCGAGCCAAAATGGCTTGAGCCAAAATGGCTACGGACTCTCTCTCTCTCTCTCTCTCTCTTTTTGTTCTCTCTCTCTCTCTCTCTCTCTCTCTATCTCTCTCTTTCTCTCTCTCTCTCTCTCTTCCTCCCCCGACTGTTTCCCCAAGCGTTTCCACAACGGCCGGGGGAGCACATGTTCCAATGGCTCAGTAAGACGTCGGCCCAACGTTTGCCACATTGGCGGTACCAAAGCAGGGGGCGGCAGAGGTCCGCCGTAGGCGTCTTCGATAAATGTGTTGGGTCCCGATAGTACTGGCCTCGCATAGGATAAGCGCTGGTCATCCTGTATGCATCGAACACCTCCCAACCATATTCGCGTGCGAGCTTCTTCTCCTGATCGACAAATGTTTGATGCTCGTCCTTGGTATCGCTTCTGCCATGGGTCACAGTTTTCCACATGAACCTGATCCCATCGCGCTTCTGGATCTCAGCACCTGCTGCAAACAAATTGCGCAAGCCGACCGTATTCAAATGGCCCCATTTGCCAGAATTAACCACGACGTGCGTCGGCTTGGGCTGTAATTTCATCACCACGCTGTTCAGTAACTGCACTACACCTCGAGCAGTTTGCCATGCTGGTTGTTTGATTGTCCAACGGAACGGCGAAGTACATGTCCCAGCTTTGCAGCTGATTTGCGTGGGGCGCTCGTCTGGGGGAGTGAAATATCCATGGAAAGGCGCATCGCCAAACCATCCAAAGAACGACATCGACGATCCGTTCGCAGGCAACGCAACAAAACGATCCTCCACATAAAGCGCTTCGTCTTTCCGGCCACAGTGGCAGATTTCCGAAACACCGTCAGCCTGCAACTCGCTGTTCTGGTGGCGGTAAACTGCTGTCCAAAAGTCATGGTAGTGGGTCTCAATGGAAGGCAATTTCTCGGGCATCTCAGGCCGAGCTTCCCCGTGTATCAACCACGATGCTAAGTTGAAATACTGCTGGCGCATCAAAGAATCTCCGATGAAAGCTATATGTGGTTGACGCGACTTTTGTTTCAGTGTGCGAACAGCTTCACCGAGCATGCTCTGCTCACGGATATCTGAAGCCGATAATGGGGCTTCGCGCAAAGCATCGCTCCAATTTTTGAAGCCAGCAAATTCGGATTGCCAGTCGGAAACTTCAGGTGCGCACACCTCCTGCGCAGCAGATTCATCTTCCACCGTTGCTGTGCCACGTGCCTGAACCTTGCCCCATGGGCATTCCAAAGGTACCGCCTGCTGGGTGCGCTGCGCCAACTCCCCGGATGAGATGGAGCCCCTTTCCAATCGGAGCGCGGTTGGGCCATTCAGCACCGCAACGAAGCAAGCAAGCACCAAACCATGGCTGGGAGACATGGAGGTTCACGAACAGAACACGCAAAAGTGTATGAGCAAAAGGAAGCGCGAAAATGTCATACGCGCCCGCGAGCCCTTGAGTCAAGGGGCTACGGACATGCTCGGCGCTGTGCGCCTCAGGAGAAAATGAATTCCTCACGGCCACAGTCGTCGCACGGTGGTCCAAAGGAGTTCATAGTTACTATCAGCGGAACTCCGCCGAGTCGACCGAGTATGGGTGAACAAGAAGAGCGAGAGAGCAGAGAAGCAACAACAACAACAACAACAACAACAATCAGCTTCAAACTGTTCGCTCCTATCAGATCACGTGCCAATCAATACGTATATCATATCCCAAGCCCTCGGTACCCGCCTTCGTCGTCTTCGATCGTACCCCCTTGGGGGTATATCTTCCTTACCTGCCACGTGTATTTAGTGCAGTCCCTAAAACAAGGGAAGAGAAGATGGTTTGAAGGGGGAGGGAGAAGAATAGAACACGAGAGAAATTAGCACGAGGGGGGCAAGGAGCAGACAACAAGTGGTAGAACCAGACGGGCAAACCGGGTGGGCAGACCCTTAGCGGGCAGGTCAGGAAGGCGGGCCCAAGCGACCAGGTTGAGCAAGCGGGTTGCTGAAGCGTGGGTCCTGCATGAATCGCGAGGACGTCTCGAGCAATAGCGCCATTCCCAAGTGAATCCCGAGAAAAGCCAAAGCGAGAGCGTGATTCCTGAGCGCCGAGGGCGCATCATCTGATTAAATTGCGAGGAAGTCCCACGCGAGAGCGCGATTCGTATACAAATTGTGAGTCAGTCCCGCGCGAGAGAGCGATTTGGGACTACACTGTGAGGAAATATCAGGCGGGAACCGTTGTTGTTGTTGTAGTTCGGGGCCAAGGTCCCAGTTTGAGCCTAGCGACTTTCCCTTATAAAAAGCCGGGTGCGAGCCCCGGGGGAAGCACTTCGATTGAAAAAACAAAATGATCACCAGTCGGGGGGGATCAACAACAGTTGTTCTTCAATAATGGAAAAATCAACCACAATCATTAAGACTGTCCGCTCTTACTGGTACGCGTGTTTTGCATTCTGTGTACCCCACCCCTCGATACCCGCCCACTTCGTCTTCGATCGCACCCCCTTTCGGGGGGGAATCTCTACCTTGTCGGCCACTGACTGAAGTGCGAGGAAATCTCGACTGAGAGCGCCGTTCCTGAGTTCGGGGGCCTCTCTTGCCAGGCCAAGGGCTCTCGGAATACATAATGAAAAATGTCGAACGGGAGCCCTTGTCGCCGTCTGGGCCTTCATTGCGAGAAAATCTCGAGCGAGAGCGCCACTCTTGACTTCGGGGGCCTCTCTGGCAAGGGCCTCTGCGAATACATCTTGAAGAAATAACGAACGAGATCCCTTGTCGTGGTAGTTGGGCCTCCCTCATTTTGACTGCATCACGAGAAAGTCTCGAGCGAGAGAGCCGTTCCTGAGTTCGGGGGCCTTCCTGGCCAGGGGCTCTCCGAATAAATCGTGAGGAAGTATCGAACAGGAGCCCTTGTCGTCGTGGCCGGGCCTCCGCCAACTTGACCGATTTGTGAGGAAGCCTCGAGCGAGAGCGCCGTTCCTGAGTTCGGGGGCCTCTCTGGCCAGGGTGTCTCGGGGTAAATTTGTGAGGAAGCATCGAGCGGGAGCCGATGTCGTCGTAGCCGGGACTCCAAGGGCACACTTTTACACTCAAGCCCACGCTCGCACGGGAGTCTCGTTTTTAGAGAGAATGCAGGCGGCGTCGAGGCGAGAGCGCGCGGAATCGCTTCCGGAAGTCAACAATTATTATTCTCTACAAATGAATATTACATGAACAACAACGACAACAACAAAAACAATATGTTTAAGACTGTTCGCTCTAATCTGCTCGTGTGCCATCCAACACATATATCCCAAACCCTCGATACCCACCCTCTTCATCTTCGACCGTATCCCCTTGGGGATATATTCTTCTTACCTGCAACGTGTATGTCGCGCACCACCTAAGACAGGGGAAGAGAGGACGGATGGAAGGAAGGGACACGGGGGAGAGAGGAGGATGGAGCACGACAGAGAGAGAGAGAGAGAGTAGCAGGAGGGGGGCTAGGAGCAGAAAACATGTGGCCGAACCGCAAAAGGGCCTACGGCGGGGCCACGAAGGTCAGCAATAGGGCCGCTGAGGGCACGAGCGACTGGGGGCCACGAAGGGCGAATATATGGGCCACAAAGGGCAGCGAGAGGGCCACTGAGGGCAGCGGGGGGGAGGCACACCAGGCTACAATGGGACCACGACGGGCAGCAATGGGCCAATGAGGGCACGAGCGACTGGGGGCCACGAAGGGCGAATATATGGGCCACAAAAACAGCGGGGGGGTCACTGAAGGCAGCAGCGGGGCCACGAAGGGCAGCAATGGGGCCTCTGAGGGCACGAGCGACTGGGGGCCACGAAGGGCGTATATCTGGGTCACACAGGGCAACGGAGGGCCACTGAGGGCAGCACCGGGGCCACGAAGGGCAGCGACTGGGCCACAAGGGGAGGGGCCACGAATGGCAGCAATGAGGCACAAAGGGCGCGAGCGAGCATGGGGCACGAAGGGCATGACCCAGACGGGCGGGCCGAGCGGGCGGATCGATCGCGAGCTCTGCGCGATTAGCCAGATCGCTTCCGGCGAGAAAGCAATTCCTAAGGAAAGGCGAAGGAGTCCCCAGCGAACGCGCGATTCCTGAATGGTAAAAGCGCGGCGCCTGATCAAATTGCGAAGAAGTCTCAGGCGGGAGCGCGCTTCTGGAGTAAATTGCAAGGAGGTCTCAAGCGGGAGCGGGGGGCCGGAGCAAATTTCGGGGAAATATAAAGCGGGAGCCGTTGTTGTTGTAAACCAGGGGCCAGGGGCACAGTTTGAGGAAGAAGACTTTCCCTGATACAAAAACAGGGTGCGAGCGCCAGGAAGGGCACTTCAATTGAAAAAACAATGGGAATGAAACAACAACAACAACAACAACAACAATCACTTTACCCGAACGCTCAGTGTTCTCACCAGTGCCAGGGTTTTCATGCGACGCCAGCCAATACCCCCACTTTGTGGGGGGGCAGTGCAAGCTCTACCAAATATCCACACGACTCTTCGCCACCACCCACACCCAGCTTCCCGCCCTATGACGTTCGGACACTTCACTTCGTGGCCTGCGGACGACCGTGGCTACTACACTGGCGTGGAGTACACACCCACAGAAGTTGTTAGGACAGCGCGCGCGGGTAGAAATTTTGAAAAGTCGTGCAGGTGTTTTTCGAGGACCTACGGTGCGATTCGTGTGATTTTATGATGCGCGGTGCTAAAATTCTTAAGAAGCCCAATGGTTTTTGGAGATTTCGGCGTGCGCGCGCGAAGAAAAAACGAATGTGTCCCGCATGGTATTATTTGACAGGGATGATGGCCCTGGCAGGTGCGCAACCGTTGTCGCAGAAGTTCGAAAAAGTTGCTCGCAAAAGCCCGTTTGACAGAAATGTTTAAAAAGTGTTGGGTTTCCTACGAATCCGCAAGAGCGCGCGGGATGAGATTTTGACATTTTTTTGTTGAAAAACCATTAGTTTTTTGATGTTTTTATGTTGAAATCGCTCCGAACACTAAGCTTTTGGAAGGATTTCGTCTTGCGCGCGCGAATGTCCACTTTACCTTATTTTTTGCAAGGGATTCTTGAAATTTGATTATATTAGAACAAGAAATGTCATTTTATAGTGTTTTTTGCAAGGGAAAGCGGGGGGGAACAAAACAACCGGATCTTGATCACATCGAATTACCTGAGGCTTCCTCACGAAAATGATGAAAATGTAGCTGCGGCCTAGGCGGCGCAGGGGGGCCGTGCACCAGGGGCCCCAACAATAATTATTCTTTAGAATTAATAATGTTCAACAACAACAACAATTACTAGCACGTGGGGACACTCCGTTCTCACCAGTGCCAGGGTTTTCATAGGAGGCGGGCAATACCCCCACTTTGTGGGGGGGCCGGTTCAAGCTCTACCAAATTTCCAAACGACTCTTCGCCACCACCCACACCCAGCTTCCCGCCCTATGACGTTCGGACACTTCACTTCGTGGCATGCGGACGACCGTGGCTACTACACTGGCGCATGGTTTCAATGACTTCTTGTGGTAACATCTTGTGGAAACTAGCTTAGTATACGACGACGACGATTTGAAGGGCCTACGGTGCGAAAAATGATTTTATGTTGCGCGGTGCTAAAATTCCTACGAAACCCAATGGTTTTTGAAGATTTCGGCGTGCGCACGGAAAGAAAAAACGAATGTGTCCCGCATGGTATTATTTGACAGGGATGATGGCCCTGGCAGGTGCGCAACCGTTGTTGGAGAAGTTCGAAGCACGTGAAGAAGTTGATCGCAAAAGCCCGTTTGACAGAAATGTTTAAAAAAGTTGGGTTTCCTGCAAATCCGCAAGAGCGCGCGGGATGAAATTGTGACACTTTTTTTTTTTTTTACAAAAAAAAAAAAAAAAAAAAGAAAAAAAAAAAAAAAAAAAAAAAAAAAAAAAAAAAAAAAAAAAAAAAAACATTGGTTTTTTGATGTTTTTATGTTGAAATCGCTACGAACACTAAGGTTTTGGAAGGATTTCGTCTTGCGCGCGCGAATGTCCACTTTACCTTATTTTTTGCAAGGGATTCTTGAAGTTTGGTTATTTTAGAACAAGAAATTTCATTTTATAGTGTTTTTTGCAAGGGACAGCGGGGGGGAACAAAACAACCGGATCTTGATGACATCGTATTACCTGAGGCTTCCTCACGAAAATGATGAAAATGTAGCTGCGGCCTAGGCGCGGCGAGGGGGTCGCGCACCAGGGGTCCCAACAATAATTATTCTTTAGAATAAATAATGTTCAACAACAACAACAACCAATTACTAGCACGTGGGGACACTCCGTTCTCACCAGTGCCAGGGTTTTCATAGGAGGCGGGCAATACCCCCACTTTGTGGGGGGGCCGGTTCAAGCTCTACCAAAT